AAATATCATACTTTACGCCGAAAAAACGAAACTGAAAGTTAAATGCGTTAACTTCCGAAAACCATACATAATCCAACGAAAATAAATAATTGGTAAATATAACAGCTTTCTTGTATGCAAAGAAAAAAAATTAAAAATGTTAAAAAAGAGATGTCGACACAAAATTACATAGCCCCTTCAATCCTGAAGATACTACAAACGAACTGTACCTTAACATTTTCATATCCCAGAAGCAAAAGTTCCCATGACGAATATTGCTATAGCTAGCGATTGCAAAAACCAACTTGTTTCTTAATGCAATTCGCATGTTCTTTGCCCCTAATTTTTAGCGATCTAATCGTTTGACCGATATAGACCTTGTCGCAATTTTTACAGTCAATTTTATAAATGCCGGATTTCTCGCAGTCGTCTGCGTCCAAATTGTCTATGTTTTTACTGAAACATTTTCCCGTATTAAATTTGTTATAAAAAGCCAAAGTAATGTTTATATTTTTTGAAAATACGCTCAAATTTATGGTGAAATTACAGGGTGAAAATTAAACTTCCTAAAAATGGATATATCTTTGATTCTTTGAAGATTCGTTGCATTATTTATCTCCCGTCTCATTTTTGAGTTAATGTTTAGTATTGTTTCTGACTTAAAACCATTTTTATCTCCCGATTCCACAATGTTTTGTAGCTCCAACTTGAATTTTGTCGTGCTGAGGGGATCACTCAATAGTCTAAAAATCATACTCCTGAAAGCTGGTCATTTGTGAGACCATGGATTAAAGCTAGATCTTTTAATGTAATTCGTTGTACTCAAGGTTTTCTATAAATATCAAACTCTAGCGTCTCTCCTGCTCATTGTATTAATAAATCTAGGAACGGGAGTTTCCCATCTTTTTCCTGTTCAATTGTAAACTTGGTGGAATCTTCAAGACTGTTTAAGATTGTCCAGGCTTTCGTCACGTCACCCTTTTTTAAGACACATAAAACATCATCAATATACTGGAACCAAACCTTAAGGTGATTCGATGGACGCCATATTTTGTGTCAGAACGGCACGCGATATATCGCATCAATCGGTTCCATTTTTTCAGCCACTCGTCATTTTTCTCCAATTTTGAGATCGCAATTCTGTTGTCAGGAGGCTAAAGCACTCACTTAGGTACCAATTTTAACAAAGAAATTCAACGTAATAAAGGCGTGGTTTTTTTTAGAGAGAAAATATCGCATTCGAGTGGAGTTTCGATATTAGTATTGAATGCGATGTTTTCTCTCTAAAAAAAGCCACGCCTTTATTACGTTGAATTTCTTTGTTAAAATTGGTAAGTGAGTGCTTTAGCCTCCTGACAACAGAATTGCGATCTCAAAATTGGAGAAAAATGACGGGTGGCTGAAAAAATGGAACCAATTGATGCGATATATCGCGTGCCGTTCTGACACAAAATATGGCGTCCATCGAATCACCGTAAACACGTCTGCATGTTCTTTTAGCAAGCTACATTCAAAAAAGCTCATGAAGATTTCCGCTAGAAACGGAGAGATGGGGTTACCCATGGCGAGGCCTAGTCTTTGTTGGTAAAACGTCTATTAAAAACAAATCCTGTTTGGTCCGCGCATACTTTTATCAAATCGAGATACTCCTTGGCTGACTCATGATTAGCTTCAATGTTTAAAGTCATTCTCCGACAAGTGATATTGCCTTATCTCGTGGAACGCTCGGGAACAATGACTTAACGTCGAACGACACCAAAATGTCGTCCTCTCCTAATCTTATGTTCTTCACTTTTTCGATGAAGTCTAGGTCGCATCGGGCCGCGGGCCACGGAACCAGTCGCGCTGAGGATGCCGGAGTTGCGAGCCGGCGAAACGCGTCCGCAATTTAACTACTTTTTACGTGCAAGTGAGTTTTACAATTTTATTTGATCAATTATCTTGTGCGGGTCTCCAAACGAATCTTGATGATATAATGACAAGAGTTGGAGCAAGCAACAATCGGCCAATCTGAAAATGATTTATGGAATTCAGAGCGAAGAATACGAGTCACTGCATCCAAATATGGAGAAATTTGCAAACGTCAAAAATGGAAAGGAAACTTGGTAGAGGCTTACTACTATGCCAAGCCTTTCTTCTCAAAAGCCATGCAGTGGGGCTCAGACAAAGAGCCAGTAGCCATTGCTGAATTTGAAAGAAAATATAACAAGCTAGTCAAAGAATGCGGTTTGTTCGTGGACTTAAAACGTGACTATCTGGCAGCTTCACCAGATGATCTCGTTGAAGGTGAGGTCACCATTGTGGAAATCAAGTGCCCTTATTCCTTAAGTAACCAAAAAATTGATGACGGTCTCAGTAAACCAAATTTCCATCTGGAGAGGAGGGATCGCCGACTGCGTCTAAAAAAAGACCACAACTACATGTATCAGATCCAGGGAAATCTAGCGGTAAGTGGAAGGAAGAAGTGCTACTTCATTGTTGGGACAACAGAGGAGATGCTGGTGGAGGAGATACAGTTTGACCCTCAAATGTGGAAGACCATGCTGTCATTATTAGAGGAGTTTTACTTGAAAGAAATGGTGCTAGAGATACTGAATCCTCGAAAGGAGCGACAAATGCCTGTTCGTAACAGGAGAGCAGATTAAAGTGCACAAAACAACCTCAGCGGCCCAAAACGAGCAGGAATCAATAGCACCAGCGGCGAAAAGAAGGAAAAAAATACCTACAGTAACAACTGATGAAGAAACACTTTTTAATAATGACAAAAATGAGCCTCCAGAAAATCGAATGGACTAAGACTCAGCTCCCCAAAACCTCTACATGGAGGTAAAGGCATAAACCAGCACGTGCAAACAAGGATGACTGGACAACCTGACACAACTCTACACCCTACACTAACTCTGACGCCTGCCCTGAAAAATGGCAGTTAGTGCCCCACGGTGATGATTGACAGTAAATTCATAAAATTTTTGAACACCTGCGGCTTTGACAGTATTGCCATAATTCTTGCTAAAGGACTGGAGGATATCGAGGCCTACAGGCGTTCGGCCGGAGCCTATCGCACCAATGAAATGGCTGACTTTGTCTTTGCGATGATGGAGAGTATGGATCAGACCATTTTACACACCATACGAGGCCACACCATCTATCGTCACATGCATGATCCATCAGCCCGAAGGATTTTGACAAATGTTGATTGTTTTGGTGGTCTCAGCCAAACCTTTGATCTTTTCAGAAGCGCTCCATCTGCCAAGAAAGAGAAAATTTCCTTGGCCAGAGAATGTGGCCGTACAAAAGGATTGGGGCTCACAAAAATAGAGCCGCAACTTGAGGAGCTGATTGATGGAAACAAATGGCATGAGAACATGGAAGAAATGTTGCAGAATTTGGGCGCTCTCAAAAACAACATCCAGTGCAAAGGCTGCAACCATAATTCAGCCATTTCTTTTGTGACATACTACTTACTTCCACGTATTCCTTTTCACCGACCCAATGGAAGACAGCTTAAAGGCAGTTGGGATAGGAGGAAAGCGCTGCTTTCATGTGAAGGATCGAGCACCATTCGTCTATCTTCAAAACGTAGAGTGAGTGATTCTTTTTCCCTTAAAAATTCTGTTAAATAAAAAACGTTTTTATGCAGGCTCGATGTAATTATAAGAGAAATTTGATGCAATATTCATAGGAGAAAACTTGTAGTATGTGACCTGTACAGCGCGCATTACATGGATGTGTCACTTTTGTTTTTAGAATGATAATGGTAGACGTACCCGTTGTGGACAAGAATTTTTCCTTTCACTCCTGTTCGCTTCAGTTTCTGAGAGGAGATAACCTTCACGACATTCATATTTTTCCTTTCGTGCAATTCGTTACGTTAAACTTTTTCTTTAAAAAATGGGGGCCGCGACATTTATATTTTTTGTAATTTTATTTTACACAAACAAAGAGGGTGTAGACAAACAAACAAAATTATTTTTGAGTGAGGAATATAAGAAAAACCTTTAAAATTTTGATCAGAAAAATGCCAAATTTATTGCGTCAGGTGCCAGAATTTTCCAAGAGCAATTTCCGAAAAAACAGAGAACTATAACTGAAACTCTCTCAGCTGTTTTGAACATACTGGCAACGTCGCAGTGTATGATATCCTATAACCTACGTTGTCAGATGTACTAGGCAAGCTTCTTGCAGCTCTGTCTAAAGATAGTTCCGTGCGAAAACTCACACATTCATTCCTGCTTTCGACCTTCTCCATCATTTCTGATTCTACCCACCTCCTTGGGGGCATTTAACACCCTGGGAGTTTTAGATTCATGGACAAAATCTACTACTGGACGTTTCTCTTCATGGACATTTACTTACTATGGACCAAAATTGCATTGGACATTTTAGAGCGGACATTATTGTATATTCTCGTTGGACATTCTGTACATTGGACATTTAAAATAGGACATTTCCTCTGAGCACCGTTACACAGGTATGCTTGAACAAAATTATTTTGTGGAAAGTAAAGATAGTTTTTTTCCAAAGAGTGTTATATTTAACACAACAATGATGAAGAAGAGAGAGTAAAATATAATTCCTCACCCAGTCATATTTACACTCTCTACCGCAGCGACGATTTCAGCGCTTTTCGCGATCGGGATGCTCTCGAGAATGTTGATTGATTTACTCTCCAGTTGGCTCGAATTTATCAGGACCAGACGTATCACTCTCTCTTCGATTCTGAAAGTGGAGACAAAATTAATTACATGATAATAAGCCAGCCATAGGAATCTTTAAACAATTAAGTATGCATTAAGTTGCCAAATTTCCTTCGATAAAATGTTTATTATTGAGGAAAGTTATGAATATTTATCCTTGAAATCAGGTACTCCAGGTGAAATAGCGGACAAAATTATCTGAAAAGTTGGAAGGAAAACATTCATGAGTTTACCAGGAAATTCGTGTTTTATCAAAAGAAATTTGGCAACGCCAGAAGGTTCATACGGCGTTTTTCCTCAGCACGACAGTATAGTCTAGTTACATAGGCTACAGAAGTGCGAATTTGCGCTGCAAATGTTTAACAGAACGACGAAGACCGTTACGTTACACTTGGACCGCGCGAGGCGGAAAGAAACTAAGCCTCATCAGCATATTTCCAAATTAATGGGTCAGTTGCGCTGGTCACAGAATTGTGTTTTGATGCTTGATTTTCATAGATAAGCTAGAAATAACGAGATCTGTCCAAACATCAACTTTTTACATTTAAAATCAACCGAGACATCGCCCTTTGAAAAGTCGGGTTTCGGGAACGTCATCCACCGCGGTAGTACACCATCGGTTTCTTCCACCTTGCTTTCATCAGTTGATGTGACGCTTATTTCCACTAGTTACTCAACGTAAAACTCGGATGAAAGTGAAACAAACCGAGGTTGTCACTACCGCGGTGAATGACGTCATAAACCGAATTTTCCAAAGCGCGATATCTCAGTTAACATTGAACGCACAGAGATGCTATTTGGACAGATCTTACTATTTTTAGTTAATCAACAAGAATCAAGCATTGAAAGACGATTCTGTGACCAGCGCAACTGACCCATTGGGCAATTTAATTGTTAACATGAAAACGGTTGTGCGGATTTTGGTGCAAATTTCAGTGAGTTTTCTGCATAGTACGAAGCAAATTCCTAAAGATTTTGAAAGGAATCCGCACAACCATTCTCTCGTAAAAAATTAAATTGCTTAGTTAAGTTTGACAATAGCTGACGTGACTCGGCTCCTTTTTGCCATTTATGTATTCACTAGCAGGAAACCCGTGCTACGCACAGGAAAACCCCACCATCAGCAATCACTGTGATTAGTTACTAATTGTGTTTCTGAATTATTATCTACTATTTCAAAATTGGCGAGACGCACTGGTTTGATAAAAATGCAGAGATTAGTAGTATGCTGCTATTTTGGTCTGTTCTGCAGTAAGCTCATATGATAATTATAATAATCAAAAATACCCAATCAAAAGGGCCCAACATATTTAGAATAGATTAATCTGCTATACCTTTACTGAATGGTTCTGATGTCAAAGCATGGAGGACGGTAATCGTTTTTCTAGATAGATTCCTTAAGCGGTAGTGTAGTTTTCTCAAAATCGATGGTTGAAATTTTAGTGAGCGAGTTCTTTCATCGCTATGGTGCTCATCTTCTTTGGGTAACTTAAAAACGCGCCTACATAGAGAACAGCTGAGCGCTTCTCTAATATGAACGCACTAGCAGGAAACCCGAGCTAAGCACAGGAAAACCCCCACAATCAGCAATCACTGTGATTAAAGATCAGTTACTAATTGTATTTCTGAATTATTATTTGCTATTTCAAAATTGGCGAGACGCACTGGTTTGATAAAAATGCGGAGATTAGTAGTATGCTGATTAAAGTTGCTATTTTGGTCTGTTCTGCAGTAAGTTCATTATAATTATAATAATCAAAAATACCCAATCAAAAGTTGGTTATTTTCATAAGGATTTGTTACTTTTGTCAGTTCAATGTTTAATTGAAGTTAGCTGGTGAGTTTCAGCCGCGAAAATTACGGGATTTAACCAGCGGTTTCGTTTAATTCTCAGCAATGGCGGGTTTGTCATCTACATCGCGGAGAAAACGTGATTTTTCCAGGGATTTTGTAAAACAAATTAGAAATTACACGATAATCACCATGATATCACGGCAAATACGTCGTGTTCCTAGCGAATTTCTAAGATTATTATAATTGCACGTTTTTCACATCAATATCGTGGCATACAATCGAATTTCTGACTCAATAAGGCTACGTAAATGTGCGCATAAAACTCATAGATATCTGTTACTTGGGATGGGCGAAAACGTATGATTTTCCTTCAATTTTGTATGATATCACATACCCACTCTGGAGTTCAAATAGTTGCTTGTTTTATTTCTCCTTGTTAAAAGTGACGAATTGGAAGAATCCAATCTCAATTTCACGAGAACTATGGGATGTAATCATCGGGTATGACTCATGTGTTTCGGTAAACTATGATAGAAACAGAAAGCAGGTAAAGAATGTCGAAGCGATGTTCTAGTTTTGCTCCGCTGTCAGCACCACGTCTGCAGGCGCAGTGTGACCAAGCCGTCATCACAGTATAGAACGCTTTCAAATTAGCAAGCGGCAATGTGGACATCTCCCGTGGTGAAATAGTTGTATCAAGAGCGCCTTCCACGATCGGAGTCAAATATTGATGAAATGCGCGCGAAAACCCCGTTTCTCCTCCGATTGAAACGTTGCACATCGTCTTTATGTTCCATTTTGGTTTATTTGTTTTATTTTTGAAGCCAAACAACAGCTTCTCTTAAAATTTTCCGAGAATTTGCCTAAATCATTTCCATACAGAAGATAATAAAAAGTAACAAAAAGTAACTCCAAGCGACGTGAAGACTAAATCACAACAGTTTACTTTCGGACTTGAGCAGTTAAATTTTTGCAAAAAAAAAAGAAAGAAAAAAAACAGAAAACGAAAGGTTCCTTGATGCACATTTTTCTCCAATCATTTGCAAAAAAAAAAAAACGAAAGAAAACAAAAGGATCCGCGGAGCAAATATCTCATACTTTCGCAGAGGAGACCAATGCCATAGAATGAAGAGTCTATGCCAATGCACTGACAGATTTTCCAGATTTCCACATCCCTGAGAGAGTAGCCCGGCAACGCATGGACGAGTCGGAACTCGCAAAAATCATGGCGCGGCGTTTCCAACAGCGCGACGCCAAACTCCTTCCATCTTCCTCACACTCGTTGGATGCCGAACTCCTTCCATCTTCCTCGCACCCGTTGCGCGTACCAGAAGAACACACGTAAAATTTATCAACTGTCTTTCAGCGCGAGCCGCGAAAATCGCTCCATCTTGCTCGCACCCTCTCTCGCACCCGTTGTCCTTACGGAAAAATCGACACCTAGTCGAGGCGCCTGGTAGCGAAAAATGAGGCTACCTGGACTGAAATTTCGGGTACACAGCGATTTTTTTGGCTATCTTTATGTTTTTTGGGTTGCTGAATCCGAATCTGAAGTTTCCTACCGCGTATCTGGTGAGCATTTTCCGCCTTTTTAAAAAATTGCATAAAAAGTCCTTTTATTGCGGTTTTTTTTAATATAGCGGCTACGCATGAAAAAAAAAGTCCCGGATTTAGTTAATGTTTTGAATAGCTGACATAATTTGGAAGAAAATGGCGTTTACATATGCTAGGTTTGCTTAAAAATTGAGGAAGATACAGCATCGTGAACATCGCGCCTTTTCACGTTTTCGCGGCGCACCCGTCACCGCGCGATCCGGCTCGCCGCGGTCAGCCAAGTTCCAAAGCGTTCCAAAGTTCCGAGATCCGAGGTTCCTCAATTTTTTAGCAAACCCAGCATACCTATATACCATTTTCTTCCAAAGGAGGGGTGGCGATTTGGGCCATTTCCGGCCCCACCTAATCCGGGACTTTTTTTGCTGTGATTCGTTACGTATAAGTGTCAAGAGAAAGCATGCCAAGTTTCAGGCCGATCGGCCCAATATTCGGGGGGCAGGGGCCCCCCGAATTTTTAAGCGCAAAATCGGTTTTAATTTTGTAGCGCCGTCAATTTCGCTCGTATACAGATGAAAATTGGNTTTTCTTCCAAATTTTGTCAGCTATTCAAAAAATTAACTAAATCTGGGACTTTTTCTCATGCGTAGCCGCTACATAAAAAAATCGCAAAAAAGGCCTTTTTAGGCAATTTTTTCAAAATGGCGGAAAATGCTCACCAGATACGCGGTAGAAAACTTCGGATTCGGATTCAGCGACCCAAATTACACAAAGTATGCCAAAAAAATCGCTGTGTACCCAAAATTCCAGGTAGACTTACCGGGCGCCTGAACTAACACGCGGACCGCGATATCCCGCGAACCGGCGGGCGGATCGCAAAATCCTCCCTTATCCGGCGCCTCGGGGTAGAGAGGTATCCCAGTGCGGAGTTTCAGGGTCACGGTTTTTTTTCGGTCACATTTTCAGGTCGACCTCCCGTTCACGAGATCCGCTGATACGTGAGTGAATCAGTGAGTCAATCAACGTGAAGTCTGCTTTATTAGTATAGATTCTGTTCATTTAGATTCACTTCAAAGTACTTACCTGACAAAAGAAAACTCGTGGTCATCAAGGACGTATGCGTGGACTTTTCCATTGCGGAAAGCAAGGTTCTTGACTGTCTGTAACCCCAGAATTTTCTCGAGGCTATTCAAGTAAATGGTATTTCTTGAATCTTCGGGGATGCTCTTTTTCATGGCGACTACCACTCGATTGTTGTCTTGGTCGATTGGAAGCCAGTGAGAATAGCTTACAGTGAATTCTGTAAGAGGAAAATTCAAAATAATTCGAAAATTTCGAAGTTCCGTGTCAGCTAGACAATTTTCAAAAGCGTCTAATTATGAGAGGCAGCGCCATGAAGAACTTTAACTCAAATCTGACCTAAATTCATCGATGAACCTGAACTAAACCGATTATTTGTGACTGGTTTAAACGTCGGGGACCATAGGCGTACCTAGGTCATTTTTTTTTTTGGGGGGGGGGGGCTCCCCCGGAAATGTTTTGAAATTTTAACTCTATTTGAGCGCATCTCGAGGCACCCGTGGCGCTTATCTTCCTTCAGTTTCTGCACAAAAATCACCCAGTTTTATGCATTTTAAGGTTAAAATACTTTGAAACTGTCGATTTCGGAAGATGGGCATTAGGCATCCTCTCACGGGCCACGGCGACAGAGACTTGCCGTTGAAGAAGGTGTTTTTGCACCATCCAGAATTTCTGGGGGGAGGCGGATGATACTATTTCCAATTCTGGGGGGGGGCAGGCCCCCCTGCCCCCTCCTTTGTACGCCTCTGTCGGGGGCGAGGAAATAATTGGGAGTCGAACATCGGCGGTAATGATTTAAATACTATTTTATAAACCGAAACAAAATTCTCCTTGATCTCAAGAAATTTTTTTTGAGGTGAATGTGAATGAGATATTTTTTGTTCGAAGAAGTAGTGTAACTTCGTCATCGATGACAAGTTCAATTTTCTTTACATTGAAAAAACAATTCTCTCGCGAAAAAAAATTCCTTCCCTTTAACATTCTTTTTTTTAATAGTAAAGAATGACATCTTAATATATACATGATTTCTTAGCCATTTTTTAAGAGTTCGCAGAAAAAGCTCGCAATGATGTGATGTAACGGAGAAACTTTAGAGTTACTTGAAAATGGTATGATTGTATACGATGGTATTTGCCGTTTCCACTAATTTGCAGAACGTGAAAAATCAGCGAAGTCAAATTTAAAGATTACAATTCAGGGGTCTGTTTCCTACTCACTAACAGAAAGGTTTTTAAAACCCTACGCATATATGGATACTTCTATTGCCAGTGCCGATTTTTCCCTTGCGCGCAACCAATGTCAGTATGAGTAATTGTATGACAAACGTAAATGAATCAGCTATTACAGAAAGGGCACAATCGACATTTTTTTCGAAATTGAGTTTTTTGCGGTTTTTGCATTAGTGTATGTAGACACACCCTGTAGTGCAGACAGGGCACTATATTCGCATTTTTTATGTGTTTTTGACAGGAGTTATGTTTCTCACGTAGAGCAGAAAGGGCACTGTTGCAGCAATATAGTGCCGTTTCTGCAGTACATGCCCACTGCAGGGTGCGCGCGCATTGGCAGCGGCAACTCGTCGTTTGTTTTGTTTTGATACGATTGAGAGGTTAGTTTTGCGTTTCAAAACGACAGTGATCACGCTACACGCTTCACTCACGCTGAAAATGAAAGGAGTGAGAATTGAACCTTGA